CGACGGAGGGCAGAGGGCCTCCTCCCCGCCCAGGCCCCGGGGTGCTCCCCCTGCAGGCACCGGGCCCCGAGCACCAGCGCGGGCGACGGAGGGCAGAGGGCCTCCTCCCCGCCCTGGCGGCATCGAGAGCGAGTTAAGCTGCTGACCGTGCGCTCGGGCTTCGGGAAAAGGGAACTGTCCCAAACACGCGAGTCTTGTCCTTGCTCGCCCTCCATGGCCCCGGGGACAGCGTGGGAACTCGGGGAAGGATGCCATGCCGCTCTCTCTCTAGAGCGACTCCCGGGGACAGGACCACGAGGGGCTTCAGGCTCCACAGGGGAACCACGACGGCCCATGGCGCCCGCCCTGTGCGGTGGCTCCGGTGCCCTGGGGACCGCGGCGGAGAAAAGCGCGCCACGGCTCTGTCCACAGTCACGCCCGGGGGAGGGCTCAGCGCTGGCCGCGCCGCCTCCGACACAGGATTGTGCGTTTGTGTCCAATTCCACGGGCGGAGGCCTCGGCCGGCGCTCCCACGGGTCACTTGCTCCGTTTCTGAATATTTTTTGACTGAGAAGTGACCATGCCAAGGCAGCCGTGGAGAACAGGCGAGGGAGAAGACCGGTCCCTGTGTTGGGATGGTTTGGAGCCAAAGTTTTCTTGTGGAGACTGACTGTGGGAAACGAGGCACCTTCTAGAAAGGGCCGTGGGTGTGTCACGTCAGAAACACCAGCGTCCGCACGGGTTCCACGCCTCTAAGAACGGGCACAGCCACGGCGTTTGGCGCTTAAACGCGAGCTGCTCGCAAAGTTTGAAATATTTGGCGACTTTGCAGTCCTGGCCAGAGCAGTTTTTCATTATTCTATTTGTTTTTCCAAACCCTGGCATCCTGCTGAGTCTGCCCGTCTGCTGGGGGAGCGGGTGGGCACTGCCAGGCGCCGGGCCGTGCGCTGCGGCAGCTCAGCAGTGATTTAGAGACAGAACTGGCGAGGGTTCAGGCGCAGCCACCGACCCCGCGGCCTGGCTCTCACCTGACCCCGCTCACCGCCGGCGCCAGGCGTGCTAAGGGCTGGGTGCGACGTGCCCTCACCCGCCCAGCGAGACGGGCCTGTGCGGATCTGGGGCCTTCTCACCACCAGGTGTGAACATGGCCGACATCCGCCCTCGGCCTGGGTGTCAGCCTCGCGGGCGATGAGCGCAGCCTCACGGGTCCATCCTCCATGCCTGCGCGGGGCGCCGGGGGTCAGCGTCCCCGCGGCTGTCACGAGACCCGTGGCTGCCGGAGGCGCCCCTTACAGGACAGAATCGCGTCCCTCCTGAAAGTCGGAGAACACTCAGCACCAGCCTCCAGCCTCCTCCTCTTTCGGGGGGAGATGGGGCCTTGTCCCTCGAGAAGCCCCAGGCTCTGGTGCGGGTCTGGCTGCAGGAGCTGGGGACTCGGGCGGGGCCTTGGGGGCCGGGCCTGGCTGACCAGTCCGTCCGGCCATCACCAGGAGCGACCCAGGTGTGCCCTGGATGCTTGTGTGTGACTGTCCCCTGTAATGCCACCGTCATTGACCAGTGGCCTTCCTTCCCCCAGAAATGGCTGTGCCCCACCCGCAGAGCTCCCTGTAAGTATGCAGTTAAATGTGGCATGGAACATTCTGGAACTTTATAACCTGGAATAACTGCTCCGCTTGTAGCCTGCTCACTCCCCTAACAGTCGCCATGCTGCCCGACCTGTCTGTCTTCTGGGGTCTTTGAACATGCCTGGAGCTGGGACACAGGCTCCCAGGGGCACTGAGGGTCCCCGCAGCCAGCACTGCTTTCGGGGAGCAGGTCCCAGCCGTGTGGCCGGCCTTGGCAGGCATTTCCTTGAGCCGGGCCAGAGTGAGGCCATGGGGGAGGGGGCGGGTACGGCCACATATGGAGGCACGGAAGCCCAAGGGTTAGTGCTCCGCGTGGTCCTGAACAGCCCATCGGGTGGTCGTGGCTGTGCCAGCGCCTCTCGCTTCCCACCGCCAGGCGCGCGGCTCAGCACCTGCCCTTCCGTGCCGTCCCCACGGGGGCTGCTCCGTGAGGTGGAGGGATTCGGTGGAGGGAAGAGCTCGTGACCTGGAGGCGAGGGGCAGAGAGAGGCCCAGCAGCGACTGCCAGGGGGGAGCTCGTGACCCCAGGCGTGGGAAGTCTGGAGGGGTCGGTCGGGTGGGGACATGTGACGTTAGACTTCGTCATCCTCCACAAGGGAGACCGCGGGGAGGTGGTGAGCGCCAGGCCTCTGACCAGGACAGGGTCTCAGGAGGCAGATGTCCCTGCTCAGAGGAGGGGCCGCAGGTCCTGCCTGGACGCGGGTGGCCGTGTGCTGGGGCTGAAGTGCAGGCAGTGCTCAGGGATGCAGGACCCCGGTCAGTGTGGCGGCTTGGCCCGACCCGATGGCACGAGCCCTTCAGACCGGCACCTGGGACATGGCAGCCAGGGAGCTGGTTGCGGGGGGACGTGAAAGCGCTTCCTTGGTGGTGCTCAGAGCAGTGTGGGGAGCAGCTCTGTGGCTCCGGTGGGCACACAGGCCACAGCATGGACAGTGCAGGTTGCAGACTGGGCCTTAGCCGTCCGGACGGAGCCAGCTCCCCAGGGCTGCCTGCAGGTGGGTGGGGCTTGCCCTGAGGGGCAGGAGTGAGGAGGCATACCCCCGCCCCCGCACACACTGCCACTCCCAGCGTGGTGGCCTCGGGGAGGGCCCAAGATGCCACTAACTTCTTCCATGAATGAGACGAGTCTGCCTGTCGCGAGGAGATGGACGTGCGTGGGTACTAATGGTTTGCCGTGTGAACGTCCTAGTGATTAGAGTGGCCTGTGCTGCCTAACCCGGTGTCTTAGCGTCCTCCGTCCCGCTGATCCTGTGCCCCCCCACCCCCGCCTCGCCCTCCTAACCCGCTGTCCCGCTCCGCAGGCTATGTCATCACCATCTCGGGGCGCATGACCTTCACGAGCAATAAGTCCATGGAGATCGAGGTCCTGGTGGACGCCGACCCCGTGGTGGACAACACGCAGCCGCGCTACCGGGCGGCCAGTGCCTTCTTCACCTACGTGTCCCTGAGCCAGGAGGGCAGGTCGCTGCCAGTGCCCCAGCTCGTGGTGAGTGCCCCCGCGTTGCTCCCTGGGCTTCTCTCAGGGGTGAGCTCCGTGCCAAGGGCTCCTGCCCTGCGCAGGTGCTGGAGGGAGGACCCCCGACCCTGCGCTGCCTCGGCACCTGGCTGGGCTCGGCCTGGGTGCACAGGAGAGACAGGCGGAGCTGGATGTGTCCGTCCAGGCTGTGGTTTCCCACCAAGGAGAGGCCACCTTTGATTCTCCTCTGAGGGGTCTGCGGTGCACTGTGCTGATGGAAAGTCTGGCCGACCCTGTGGGTCGCTGCCCCCAGTGGGTCACTGGCCACGGCGGCTTCTCAGCTGAGGCTTCAGATGAGCGCAATGCGGAGGCTGCTGTGGCCCGATGGGGAGGGCGGGGGCTCAAGGGGGTTTATCTGTAAACAAAGCCCTAATGACTTCCTCCCCTGACAACTCCCAGCCCTGCCAGCTGTGCACACCGGAGGTCCCAGGGCTCAGTCCCGGAGACTTCCCAGGCTCCACCCCTCACGCCCTCCCCTGCCCGTCCTGGTGGCACCGGGGCCGCCACAGCCTCCTGCCCACACCCTCCTTCCTCAGCACCAGGTGGCGGCTCTCAGCTGTTTCATCTGGTCCCTTCCCTGCTGAGAGCCCCTGGGTCTGGTGCATGTCGCCTAAAGTCCAAGCTCCTGCTGCCCACCCAGCCTGCTCCCCCCTCCCACCCCTGGAGCCACCAGTCACCTCCTCAGAGGACACCCCATCCACGTGCCCGTCTCCCTCTCCTCTCACACCTGCCCTGCTTCCTCTGGAGCCTGGCCGCCGCGGGGCTTAGGGTAGCGGGTCGCTGGCTGATAGTCCGTCTCCCCAGCCCGGACCGAGCCTCCTAAGGCCTGGGACGGGTTTGCTCCTAACAGGTCACTAGGCCTGGGACAGGCTTGGCGCTTAGTGGGAGCTCTCTGAGAAATGCATGCGCCCTACTGTGAGCAAGGCTGCCCCCAGCATCTCCATCCTGTGTGCTAACGTCCCGCCACACTCGGGGGTCCCTGACCTCTTTCTCTCAGTCCTCAGCCTCTGGCTCCAGCAGGGTGGCCACATCCCAGGACGCTCTCCGTCTGCACCTCGCTGGCCTCTCCCTGCCTTTGGAATGACTCACTGGGCCACCCCACAGTCCCCCTAAGCATGAGGCTCCAACAGGTCCCGCCTGTGCCCTTCCCACCTCGACTTTGCCAGCTCTGTCTCTCCACGGGGCCTCTGCAGGCATCTCACACCCGATTTACCCCACACTGAGGCCATTATCTCCCCGAGGAAAATTCCACTGCTTGTGTCCACCCCTCATGCGATGGGAACCTGGCTGGCTCCTCTCTCCTACTCGGCCCACCCCAGTGTCCGCAGGCCCTGTCCCTGCTGCTGGGTCCTGCTCAGCCCTGAGCCTCCTCCCCCTGCTGCTGTCCATCCGGCTCTACACTGCAGCCATCGAGGTTGTTAAGAAAAATCAGATTCGTCCCCTCTCCCACCTGAACTGCCCTGGGCCTGGGTCCAGCCCGGCCGGCCTCAGCCCCAAACTCCTCCAGCCCCAGGGCCTTTGCACGTGCTCTGCTGCCTGCACGCCTTCGTGCAGGTGGGCACAGAGCCAGCTCCTCCCACTCTTCCCTCGCTGCTCTGGGTGAGGCCTTCCCGTCGTGGACTAGTGCGCGCGCATCAGTTTAGTATCCGGCCCGGCCCAGCCCTGGGCAGGACTGTGGCGCAGAGCGGGGCCAGGGACTGTCTGGGAGCATCGCAGGCTTGTTCCCTCCCCGACAGTCAGAGCGGCAGCCGCAGGTCCCTCCATCCCCAGCCTCCCTCCCTCAGTGGACCTGCCCCTGGTGTCAGGCCCATGGGTCCTGCTCTGTGATCTCAGGCAGTGCTTCCCGTGGGCCACAGGGTGGGGAGGGGCCCATGAGCTGGTTTATATCAGGGGCTCCTCACTGTCTTTCCTCGGACCTCCTCGGTAGAGCGTGCGCCCTACGAGGGAGAGGGGAGTCACCACGTGGGGAGAATAGAGCGTGACAGGGGGGCAAAGGGAAAGCAGGAGGTGGGGGCCCCGTGTTTTGCGGGGAGCACTTGCAACTTCAGTAAGGAGGTGAGGAGAGTGCACTCCGGTCGGGCCTGGAGTGGGGGGACAGGGAGCCGTCTGGGTGGAAGGAGCACAGACTCGAGGGCTGGAGAGGGGCAGGCAGGCACCTGCGCCCCCAGTGACCAGGGTCCCCAAATGGGCGAAAGACCAGATGGCCAAGGGGTAGTGATGTCTTCCTTTTGGAAAGGCTCCAGCCGAGTGAATGATGGACAGGTCCTCTAACCAGGTCTGCAGTACTTGCCAAGAACAGGGTGCACTCGCCCAGGTCCGGCAGCCGCCACGACTGCTCCCCAACACACCCCAGAACTCAGCTGGCAGGGAAGCCAGTGCCACCGCCAGGAGGCTCGGCAGTCTGTGCGCTCTGGGAGGGGGCCTCGGCGCCCCAGGAGCAGCCTGTGGTCAGGGGCCCTCTGTGGATGACCTGGACAGGGCTCCCCGGGCCTGTGGGTGGAGGAGGTGCTGGGCACGGTGGGGAGGCTGAAGGGGATGGGGAGCGACACCTGCTTGAAGGAAGGTGACCGAAGCCTCAGGTTTCAGGGGCCAGCACCACGGTGACCACAGCCTCCTGCCCCTGGCATTGTGTCCATCAGGCTGTGGTTTCTCACCAATTAAAGGCCATTTTGATTCTTCACTGAGGGGCCTGGGGTGTGCTGGTGCTGGTAAAAATAGCTTCTGTGGGGAGGAGGGGTCCCCTCCAGGGGCTGCCGTGAGGGTCGTCTGTCTCAGCACACGTGTGCTCCGGGCCTGTGCGCGCCAGCCTCCCCCTGTCAGCAATTCTTCAAGCTCCCGCCTATTTTTAGCTCCATCCCCAGGGCCGCTGACACGGAGGCGGTGGTGCTGTTTGGAGTGTTCCTGGTGCATATTTTATGCTGGGGAGGCGAGGGCGGCGCTCCCTGCAGCTGCAGGCACTTCCCAGGCTAATTATTAGGAGATGCAGACGCAGGGCCAGGAGCCAGGCTGCCCTCTGACCCAGGCCAGGCCCCGCCGCCCTGCCTCCCTGTACAGGCTTCCCTGTGGCCGTGCCCTCTGACCTTGGGTGGGGTCAAGCCGCAGACCTCTGATCCGGGCTGCAAGTGGCCGTGCACAGGGACATGGGGAAGCCACCCGGTGGCTCCCTGGGACCCGGGCACCGCCGGTGAGTGATCTTCTGTCAGCCCAGGGGCGGGGCCTTGTGTCCCCGGGAGCCTGAGGACCCAGTGGTGTCTGTGTTGGAGCCGCAGCAAGTGCCGTCCCTGGTCCAGCTGTGGCTGCTGCTGAGGGTCCCAGGAGACGTGCACGGGCGAGGTGCCGCGTCCTGGCCTGGTGTGCGGAGGCAGCGTGGACATGGGAGGGCTCGCTCCTGCCCTTGGCATTGGAGGAGCCCAGAACCCTTCTCAAGCTGGTGGAGGACGTGGGTTTTAGAAAACAGCAGCTTCCTGGATCACGATGGAATCAAATGCCGCAGTGAGCGGGCCTGATCGCTCAGCATGCCTCGGGCAGCCGGGCAGCGTCCTGGACCCGTGTGGCGGAGTGACATGTGATGGCTCCCTCACTGAATAGGCTCAGACAGACAGGCTGGGCCGGCAGGACTGACGGAGGACGGATGGGTCTGCTCCTGGCGTGGGGAGCCTGTTAGCGAGGGAAGCTGCGCCCGCCCCTCCTGCTCCGAGCGCGGGGAGTCGGACCGGAAGGGTCCTGAGGCTCCTTGACCGCCATGTCTTCCTGGGTTTGGATGCTCAGCACAAATCTGCCTTGTGGTGGGAAAATGCCGGAACCCTGAAGCTGCTCCGCCAGCTGGATGGTTGGTGCTCCACACGTCCAGTGGCCTGCGTCCCGCCTCCCCCGGTGCCGGGGTGTGTGGGCCACAGGGAGCGCGGGTGAGAGCCGCACCCCCACCAGCCGCTCTCCCACTGCTCTGCTGGGAGCCCGGACTCCCCCTTACACAGCTGAGCGTGTCCACTCTGCAGATGTCCTTTGAGGGTCCGCTGGTCCTGACAGCTCACACGGCACAGCCAGCGCTCTGAAAACCACCGATCCACGTCAGCAGCCACCCGCCCGCCAGCCCGGCCCCCCAGTGACCCCTCTCGCTGAACACTGGGAGGCCCTGCACCCCGTGGCGGCTTCTTGCTGCTCCCATGCCTTCAGCTCCCCGCCCCGCCTTGCTAATTTGATTTCTCCAGAACGTGAAAACCTGGGGGGCAGGGGCAGGGCTGCCCCCACGTGGAGAACAGCGCTCAGCGGCCCGGCGCCAGTGATGCCACCTCTGGGAGCGGGGACAGTGAACCTGAACGTGTGTCCACTGAGCACAGCCGCCGGGTCTGAATCGACACGAACACACCAGTTTGGATTTGGAGTGAAGGCTTTCCTGCTTTGGACTTCATTCTTCGATCATTATCCATTCAGCAAGTGCTCCCCCCACACCCCCACCGTGTCCAGGCATGTGCTGGCCTCGGACAGAGGGCAAGGAAGACCGATGAGGCAGAGCCAGTGCACGGGGGCCAACGCCACCGCCCGTGGGTAGCGCTCTCAAAGGAGTCCAGGATCCAGGAGGCAGGCACCTCGGGGCCATGCCCACTGTGAGCCTGTGGGGCCGAGCTCATCCCTGCCGGCCACGCACTGTGCCCTCACCAGGCTGAAGACTCCTTAATCGCCTGCGTGCTTGTCCCATGACCCCCGTGTCTCCATCCTGAGCACCAGGGAGGGTGCGCCGCGTGGCTGTCTAACCGCAAGGCCTGCGTCCGGCTCTCGGGGAGTTGTCACCGCTGGGGACCCTCTTGGCACCGGACACCACTAGTCACTAAAGGACGCGCGATCGGTTCGCCACGGGTGGACCAGCCACTGACCCACTGCGCCAAGTTCCGACGTGTTCTCAACGAACAGAGGATGGAAGGGGGAACGTTTGGTTTGCACTGTTAGGCTCAGGGAGCCACAGGCCTCGCCCA